TGAGACAACCAGCACCACAAATCGTGGGCACAAAAGTGGGCTGAATGCAAGAAACGAGAGGTGTGGCAGGCAGTGGTGTTCCCCACCCGCCTCATCAGCTGCCAACTTTTTCCCACCTCCGAAGGTGGATTGGGGCATGGGAGCAGGTCTGACACGTGGGCTGTGGGAGGCCATTTCCCTCCCACTCCACCCTAGGAAAACACACACCCTATTCCTTCCCCACCATCCTGTTTCTGAGGATGGAACTGAGAAATAGTTCCTCTACTTCTTAGGGAAGGAACTGAGTATAATTTTTTCAAATTCTGCATCATGATCCACTACTGCATCACGAAGTCAATTTAATAAGACCCAATGTTGAAAAGAAAACAGAATTGGGTAGAATAAAATATTAGAAGGCACAGGGAATAGTCAAGGAAAGTACTGTTTGGTGGGTCATATGTGTGTACTGAGTCATCAGGTAAACAGAATTTACTGTGGTTCCAAGGAGTTTAAAAGCCACTGACTCAGAAGGAGAGCTGTGTAGTCAGTCATCCACAAATACAGAGACCGACACCAGTGCTTAGAGCTCCGTCACTTACCCCATCCTTGCCATTTGACTTTAATCAGCTTTCTTAAACCCCTCTGAAGCCTTTGTTTCTTCAAACACAAAATAAGTTACACAATAATGAAGCCCAGGACTGTCAGATCAAAATAAACTAAATATATGTGAAAGCAATTGCACAATAGAAAGAACCTTGCCAATGTTAATAGCTGTCACCTTAAATCCATGTCTTTGCACAACCTGAACATTGGTTCTGGAATTAAAAGCTTCATTCTCTGTGGAAGGAATTTTAAGCATTGTTAGAAGGAGAAACCTGAGTCACTGAAAAGCACTGGCTTCATACAGGGGAATGCAAGGGTAAGTTTACAAAGAAAGAGTTTAGGAGATGTCTTTGTAGTCAATGCACTTAAGAAAGCAAATTGTCACATCACGCCTTAAAAGCCCATTTCACAGTGGCCATTCATGTATAAGTATTGTGCCAGTTACAAATATTCTCACCCAGATGGTAGTTCAGGCCTTGTCAATGTGCCTCCATAGCAATATTCTGTTAACCATCTTATACATCCAAGTGTCACGTAAGTACAGAACCAAGGAAAATGAACATCATTACATATGACCATTTCACTGACTTAAACTGACTCTTCCCTTGGAACTCAGGAACACCTATCACAGTGGTGATGAGTAATGTTGTGATACCCCTAGTTTTCGGATTTCCTTGTTACCAAGGGATGATAGTATAAGACTAGAGGTCAAAGCAGACCTTTGTGGTCCTCACGCATCGGATGAAACTACCTGTCTACATCCTTTTCCCCCTCTCGATGAACCACAGCCACCATTTCCCTGCTCCCAGATCTAAATTGCTTAGCCTTCTATTAGAAGAGTACAATCACCATTTTCCAATGGAGATCTTCAGGTCAGGAAAAAATTCGCATGAGAATGATGGGATATTTCAACTGCCTGGCTACAGTCCCAGGACTCACAGAAACCCCAGGACCTAGCTCAGTGGGCAGGAAGTAGGAAGAGATACACAAAGGTTTGTTGAATAAATCATCTAAAATGTATAATCTGGATCAAGTGCATAACCGTAAAACAAAGGCTACTTTCTCCCTGCATCACCAGGCTCCAACACTCTTGGCTCATTCCTTCCTCTCAAGGGCACCCACATTCACACCCCCATACCTGCCACCAGAGTGACCCAAAAGGATTTTCAAGCCACTGTAGTAGGAAATGTCCACATTCCAACATCCAGACTTCCAGCCTGGTGAGACTGTAGCTACCTTCTTCAAGAGGTCCAATGGATGAAGCTCCAATGCAAATTAATAATGAGGGATGCAAATGGTATTGATTTTTCTGTTAAAATGAGGGCCATTTCCTTTATAAATTTCTATGCTGTTATCACAAAACAAAATTTCACCACCAAAAAACATTAACAGATCCTACCTCAATTACCTGGCATCTCCTAATCAGCCTCTTATTTTCTTTCCCTTCCAAATCAAGCTTCTGCAACAGAGAACCTGTACTTAGTGCTTGCAGTGCCTCACCCACCAAGTAATTAATCCTCAATCCACCACACTCGGGCCTCCACTCCCACTGCTTATCTGAACATACCGAAGGTCACCTATAGCCTACTTGGGGCCAGAAAATAGTTAACATAGGAATACTCATATTCTTTTCCCTAGTCTCCCAAAAGTGCTTTTACCAGCTTGTACCTTTTGCAGATTACCATAAAGGATAAGGGAAGAATTAGGAAATGCTGGAAAAGACAGACAGTTACTAGTAGAATAGAACCGGATGGACATGGAAATAAGAGGTGTTAGAACAAAGAAAAAGGCCAGTGAGGTCTTGATTGAAGGGACTTTTGGAGAATTTGGAGAAAGGAGGAAGGAAAATATGAAAGGCAGCAGACAGAGACAGAGAGCATCTGAAATAGAGAAGATGTAAAGTTTCACTGGGCGTTTAGAACAGAATCCATCTTTGGTGTTCTTTGAAAAATTTCAGTAAAGATGCAAATTGCTTTTTGGATATCAGACTGGTGATATACATCAAGTGAGTCTTTGAAAGACAGAATGTCACAGGCCCCTCAACTTTACAAGGGCTTCGTCTTTCGTGACCTACTTGTGATGTTGGTTGTTTCTGTACACGCTTTTCTTCTTGTAATGGTCAAAGTCCCTTCTACAGTGCACTCATTTCTGTTTCTCCTCTGCTCTCTCTGGCTTTTCACCAAGAGTGTCCTTCATGAGCCCGTCTTCCTCTTCCTGCCTCTACAATGCAGGTGTGTTTCACCCACTCTTCTTGCTTGGCATGGTCTCCTTCATCTACTTGCATGGTTACACACAAAATAATCCCCACATCCATCTGTCCTTCCACACTTTCATCATAAGCTACACATTTATAGATCCAAATGTTAACTGGGCCTCCCACAGACATCTCAAATTCTATTCCTCCTTTTGAGCTGAAGGGCCATAGAGTTCACTCAGTGATACAAGCAACAGACTCAATCCTATTCCATCACCTTATCTAATGGTCTGCCCAGCTCCATGCCAGCCACCAGGCCATCAGGCAGAAATTCTCAAAACCACAAGTCCAATCGTTTCGTGCCAACACTTGAAACCTCACAGTGGCAGTCCATCACCTCCCAGTGAACGCTACACTCCCCTTGTGAGATGGCTTCAAGTCCTGTGAACACACCCTTTCTTGTCAGATCTCCACGCTGTGCTTTCTGTCCAGACTGCCCTGGAACTCCTCTTAATGCTTTCATATGCAGCCCAAACGTAGCCCCTCAGTGACACTTCCCTGACATCTCCCCTAAAAAGTAGGCTTGGCTGGGCACTGTGCTCACATCTATAATCCCAGCACTGTGGGAGGCCGAGGCGGGTGGATCACCTGCAGTCAGGAGTTCAAGACCATCCTGACCAACATGGAGAAACCCCGTCTCTACTAAAAATGTAAAATATTAGCTAGGCATGGTGGTGCATGCCTGTAATCCCAGCTACTCAGGAGGCTGAGGTAGGAGAATCACTTGAACCCAGAAGGCAGAGGTTGCAGTGAGCCGAGATCATGCCGTTGCACTCCAGCCCATGGAACAAGAGTGAAACTCCATCTCAAAAAAAAAAAGTAGGCTTCACCAGCATCCCCTTTCTTGGTACCAACACTATTCCTCACACATGCTTTCACATAGCTCTGCCGTATTCTAGTCATTAATTTATGTCTCTCTACCTCTTTACTGAAAATGACTTGGATGCAGAAAATATTTTAGCATATCTGTTTAAATCCCAATACCTCATGCATGTTACATCATAGATCCTCAATAAACATTTACTTCCTAAATAAACATCAGCTTCCTAAAGTGAGTTAATAAATCTTTACTATTATAGGTTGATTTGTGTTCCCTTAAAATTTATGTGCTGGAGTCCTAACCCCAATACCTCAAAATGTGGCCTTATTTGGAAATAGGATCTTTGCAGATATAAATCATTAAGAGGAAGTCATACTGAAGGAGTGTGGCTCCCTAATACAATATGCCTGCTGTCCTTATAATGAGGGGAAATTTGGACACAGACAGGCACACGCAGAGAACATCAAGTAAAGATGAAGGCGGAGATGCTTCCACAAGCCACAGATCATCAAATATTGCCATTAACCAGCAGAAGCCAGAAGAGACGTATCTAACAGATTCTTCTTCAACGCCCTCAGAAGAGCCCACCCCACTAACACCTTCCTTTTAGACTTCTGGCCTCCAGAACCGTGAGACTATACATTTGTGTTATTGAAGACTTTCAGTTTGTGCTGCTTTGCTATGCCAGCCCTAGCACATTAATACATTTACTAAATGAAAACAATTACTCAATGCAGTTAATACCTGAATATTTGCAACGTGCCTTCTCCGTACTTTGCTAAGCAGCAAATGCAATAATAGCAACATCAGATGGCATCGTGCCCCAAGACCATCTCATTCATTCCATCAGTGCATGCTTCCGCTCTTCTCTAGCAATATTTTGAAAGGAAAAAAATTTTTTTCACATACTTTTTTCCCCAATCAATTTTTATTTCTGCCTGGCAAATACTCTTCAAGCAGAGACAGTTATCAGAGGAGACAAATGGTGGAACGAAAGGCCTGAAGGCTGCTGGGGAAATTGCCACTGAGCTGAGCCCCACCCCACCCTTTGGTATTCCTGCCTCCCCTTAGCTCCCCAAGGCCTTCTCTCCTCTGGTCACCACTCGGAAATTCAGAAATCCAGCTTTTCAGCAAATGCACGAAAACTACCTCCACTGAAACCAAAGGAGTTTAGCCCCACTCAGTTTAACGTGAAGGAAAACACTGACATGTAAATGACATCCCGGAGTCAAGTGCAAGCCATCTCCTGGTGTCTTTCACTGTTTCTCACTTGAAAGCATAGGCCCAGCACAGATGCCATGGGTTGATGGAGGAAGCCAGCAGTGTGTGAGAGAATGCACTCACCTGAGTCATGGATTCCAAGCAGTTCTGAGTGAGTCGCTGTAATGGGCGAGGCGGAAGAGCGTGGCCAGGAGTGTCAAAGGGGATACTGAGAGACCCAAGACTCCGACGCCCAGAAAACCCCCTCCAACATTTGAGTTTCTTGCAGAATCTGCTTCCAGGCTCACTCACATTCGCTTCGCTCCAAATCTGGCTGCCAATACATAACGTTTACTAAAGATAACTTTGGCAGGAAAACCACAGATTTTAACGTGAAGTGATTCACAGCTAAAATGACACTTTTTTAAAGCTCATTAAGATTGTTAAACATTGATGGGTTTGTTAGAGAGGTCTCCTGTTCCATTTAAAACATTTCAGTTTTTTCACAGGTATCCAGCTTTGAGTGTTGAGTCCCAGAATACGCTGGGACCATTTTCCCACGAAACCAAAACTAGTCATTTGTTCTAAAAATTTTATTGAGAATATATATATTCTATTTAAATTTTCAAAATCAGCTGGAAAAAAATCAAGCTTATACTAAAATGAGTGACTTATAAGCACCACTTTCAAATACTAAACATTTTCATTTTAAACCAGCATTACTGGTTTTACAACTATATGTGCTTCTGCACATCAGTGTAACTGTACACAGATTTAAGAGAAAAACAGGCCAGGCGTGGTGGCTCACGCCTGTAATCCAAGCACTTTGGAGGCCAAGGCAGGCAGATCACCTGAAGTCAGGAGTTCAAGAAAAACAATAGGCCATTTATACTAATCACAAAACAATAAAATCAGGAATTAACACTAAGTTTAATAAAGATCATTTAAAAATTCCAACCACTTAGAAATAAAGAAAATTAACTATGAGGTCAAAGGAGAAATTGCATGTGCAGTAACAGATTATTTATAAAACAAAACTAATGAGAACACTATATATGACTCCTTTACTGCATTCAAAGTTGCTTTAGCCTTAAGCATGTTCATTATGAAAGAAAGAAAAAGACGAAGCTCTCAAAGAATTTAGAAAACAAATTGTAAAAAGTTATAGCAAGTTATAAAAAGTTTTATAGAAAATAGCAGGAATAAGGGCCGGGCGCGGTGGCTCAAGCCTGTAATCCCAGCACTTTGGGAGGCCGAGGCGGGTGGATCACAAGGTCAAGAGATCGAGACCATCCTGGTCAACATGGTGAAACCCCGTCTCTACTAAAAATACAAAAAATCAGCTGGGCATGGTGGCACGTGCCTGTAATCCCAGCTACTCAGGAGGCTGAGGCAGGAGAATTGCCTGAACCCAGGAGGCGGAGGCTGCGGTGAAAGAAAATAGCAGGGATAATAAAAGCAGGATTAAATTAATTCAGATATTAAAACCTAAAATTACTGATACATATGTACACCCACTCTAAAATGGATTAAGCTCCTATGTATCTAATCGGTGTAGAAAAGAGAAAAGAACAGGAAAAATGAGAAATGGACAACATGAAACGGTACACGTGGAATGTAATCAAGATGTTAAGGCTGGGCACAGTGGCTCACGCTTGTAATCCTAACACTTTGGGAGGCCAAGGCCAGTGAATCACTTGAGGTCAGGGGTTCAAGACCAGCCTGGCCAACATGGTAAAACCCCGTCTCTACCAAAAACATAAAAATTAGTCAGGTGGGGTGGCATGGGCCTGTAGACCCAACTACGCAGGAGGCTGAGGCAGGGAGAACTGCTTGAACCTGGGAGGTGGAGGTTGCAGTGAGCCAAGATCACACCACTGCACTCCAACCTGGGCAACACAGTAAGATTCCGTCTCAATATGTGTGTGTGTGTGTGTGTGTGTGTGTGTGTGTGTATGTTAAGAGTTCTGCATATGGAATCCAAGGTAACTGGGTGGAACCTCAAATCAGCCCCTTTTTAGTTACAAGACTCTAGGTACAGTTAACCTCTTAAGATTTGATTTTCTCTAAAAATGAGAATGGAAAAGTAAAATGAGAAAATACTACTAACTGCTTCCTAAAGAGTTGTGAAAATCAAATAAGTACTTCCAAGTACCCAGGGACTAGTAAGCACTCGGGTCATCATCTAGACCATTCTAAAGACTTACATCTGCTCAAGATATAATCCCTTTGACATGACCCCATTAGATCCCCTGTACAGGGTGACATTTGTGATTTCATCTTCAAAGCAATGTAATTCACAGAAACCGGTGAAAGGTCAAGTTCTTCCATCTCTGCAGCAGCCCTGCCACGGTTGTGTATGAGCCCGCGGCAGCTGATGTCGAGTGATGTCACTGGGGTCAAAATGTCCTCCAGGGAATATGTCCTTAGGCACTGTTTTGTGCTACAACAAGCCTCCCACTAAAATGTTGAGAGAGCATCTTAAGTGGGTCCTAAAACGTGTGCATGTGGACGTAGAGAGTGGAATGAGAGACAGTGGAGAACTTGGAAGGGTGGGGGTGAATGAGAAATGACTTAACAGGTCCCAAATGTGTTATTCGGGTGACGGATACCCACTCCAAAAGCCCTGACTAGACCACTACAGAATCTATGCATATATCGAAATTGCACTTGTACCCCATAAGTTTACACAACTCTTTGTTTTTTTTTAATTTTAAAAAGGGATTACAGTTTTATGTTGATTTCTCCATCTTTTCACCCATTTGGTCCATCATTTCCCTAATTAACGTATTTATAATAATGATTTTGAAGTCTTTGTCTGCTAATTCCAAAAGACTACCTGTCAAGTAGCTAGGAAGATGTATCATCTTCTAGCATTTAGATATCCTAGCACCTCTGCACCCTATGCTTTCTTATATCTTAAATAAACAAACATACATAAGTAAGAAATGAATAAATAGAACGTAGAGAGAGGACTTGGTTGGAATCTCCTGTGTAAAGAGGAACATTGAAATGGCACGAATGGGAAAATGTCTAGGAGCAGTACAAGAAACAGCAAAGAACAGAATTTAGAAAACAAAACGCAGGGGGGGTGGAGATGAAAAGGGGTTAACTGAATACGTGAGAAAAACCAGCTTAATGACCCTGACAGTGGCTAACCTTGTTCACACTTCCCCTCTGCCAGCACTGTTCTAAATACTTTTCATGTGATTTCCCACTGAATCCTCACCACCAGCCGCAAGGTGGGTGCTAATGTCCTCTTTCACCAAGGAGAAACCCCACAGGGTGACTTTACCAGCTTGTGTCCAAGAGGGAGTCCATGGGGAATGACAGCATATGAAGCCAGGTAACCACACCCCAAAGTCTGCACCCCAAACCCTCCTGCTCATTCCCCTTCATGGCATCACAGGGAAGTGTCGCAGAGACCAAAGGAGCCTCAAGAAGAAAGGGCAGTCACCAGTGTCAATTCTACAGGATATCTGGGAGCCAGAAGCCTCGAACTTCCAAAATGCAACTTCAGCCAAGCTACCATGGCTAAATCAGAAGGCAGATGGCAATCCTTGAAAAGAAAGGTGTCATGGCAGTTGGCTTCAATAAAATCTGCCCCTCCACAGTACCAACAGCTGAAAAGAAGAAAGCCCGCGATATGGAATGTGGGAAGGGGTGGGAAGGAATGAGCTGTTAGGTCCAGCCTGAGAACAGGACAAGCTAGGAACGTAAGAAATGATGACTGCTGGAGAAGTATGATGGGGCTAGGAAAGTAGAAGAGAAATGAATGCCAGCCAGCATCTTCCCAGAAGTCAAGTTCATGACAGTAGGAGCATCATATCTGTTAAGAATTAGGAGTTTGTCAACAACAACAACAACAACAAAAAGCCAATTTAAAAAGGGGCAAAGGACTCGAATAGACATCTCTCCAAAGAAGATACACAGATGGCCATACGCTCATGAAAAGATACTCAACATCACCAACCACAGGGAAGCGCAAATCTCAATCACAATGAGACACCACTTCACACCTACTAGGATAGCAATTATTTACAACAACAAAAAAAAAAAAAAAAAAAAAAAAAAAAAAAAAAAAAAAAAAAAAAAAAAAAAACCAGAAAATAACAAATGTTGGTGAGAATGTAGAATAACTGGAGCCACTGTGCACTGCTGGCAGGAATGTAAAATGGTGTAGCCACTGTGGAAAATGATATCACCATTCCTCAAAAAACTTAAAACAAAATTACTATATAATCCAGCAATTCCACTTCCATGCATATGCCCAAAAGAAATGAAAGCAGAGGCTCAGACAAATACTTGTACACCCACGTTCATAGTGGCACTACTCATAACAGTCAAAAGCTGAAAGCAACCCAAGTGTTGATGAAATAAAATGCTGTATATACACACAGTGAAATATTATTCTGCCCTAAAAAGGAAGGAAATTCTGTCACATGCTCCAATATGGATGAATCTTGAAAGCATGCTACATGAAATGAAATAAACTAGACACAATAGGACAAACACTGCATGGTTTCACTTATATGAGGTACCTAGAGTAGCAAAATCCATATAAATAGGAAATAGAACGGGGGTTGCCAGAGGCTGGGGGTAGGGAGAAGAAATGACTGATAATAGGTACAAGGTTTCCTCAGGGATAATGAAAATGTCCTGAAGCTAGACGGTGGTGAAGGTCACACAATACTGTGTATGGACAAAATGCCACAAAACTGTCATTAAAATGGTACATTTAAGGGCCGGGCGTGGTGGCTCAAGCCTGTAATCCCAGCACTTTGGGAGGC